GTGTGTGTAGTCGTCAAGACTGGGGGTATGGCCTAGATGCCAGGTGCAAGTGCGGGCGTAACTCTCTGGGAGCTCGCAGTGTGTGGAGTAGACGGGGCTCTCCGGGTATCGCTGAGAAAGAAACAAAAGGCGAGTTGCGGTGGTTGCAGTTGCAAGGTGAGTGGAGGAGGAAGGGCAAGTAGCGGTGGGCGGCTACTGTTATATGGACACGTCGTGGAAGTATTTCGAAAGAACACCTTGCGATCTCGAGGATCTTGCTCCGCAAACGGTCTAGCGCGCACCTCGCCCATGGCCCGTTCACTTTGCCCCAACCGCCCGCATCAGCCTCAATTTCACCTGCGTTTGACGCAGCTGGCTACAGGACACGTGTAATTCGCTAGCACTGGGCTTTCACTGCGCCCGTGTAGCAGGTGTGACTCCGCGCTATGCAGACCCATAGGCCACAGTAGCTTCTTGTGCAGACGATGATGGGGAAGTCGCAGCTCCGTCGTTATCTGCTATCGTGCCTCTAGGCCAATTTACCCCTCCATTCTAAGCGAACGCGAACACCTAGAAACCTCGGTGCTCTACCATTTCGACGTTCAAGTCGCGAATCAATTCATCGGCATTGCAAAATCGCCGTTGCCTCCATGCGCAAAACCCCAGCCAGTCTGAGTCGCTGCGTCGGTAACCTCGGACACGGCCCTCGTTGTCTGTCCCAAGTTCCAGGTGTCCTTTCGGTAGTCTTCCAGTCGCTAGGCAGACAGATCTACACGAGACACTGGCTCCACCGCACCGCCAACACCATTCACCTCGATGACTCCTTGGTCGATATGCAACGTACCCTCAATCTTCTTGCCACGAGTGTGAACACGCTGCTTCAAATCTTCACAGCTGCCTAGCAGAAGGACGGATCAAAGCACCCTGCCCACCGTGCACGACCAGTCACCATACTTGCACATGTGAAAGGATTTGCCTGTAGGTAAAACTGGCCTCTTTGAAAGCAAGATGTGCGAAAAACACTACACGTATGTGGTTTGATGCTTCGTCCCGGATAGCTTGACGTCTGCCCAAGAGAACCTTCGCGACCGTTCCCCTGTCCCACTCTGCCGATCAGCCGCTTCGCCGACACAACCATCGGAACCCGTCACCAGGCCTTTGCCAAAGTCTCCCTGAAAGTGCTCAATATGTCAGCCCACCGCGCACCAGACCTGCTCTTCCACACAGCCAGACCGAGAACGCCGACACCCAAGGCGGAGGGTATCGCCTTCTTGGCAAACCTTGTTGCAACGTGTCTGAAAAACATGTCCTGCTTCTGCCTTACCCGCTTCACATGCTCGTCTCTCTTGTTCTTGACAGGGAATGGCTCCTCTGGTACCTCTTTCTCGAGGAACTCGCATAGCGGCTTCCAGCCATCCTCCAAGCGGAACTCGAGCAAGCGCTCGGCAGGCACCGCAGCACGAATTTCTGCATAGTGTTTCCTATATCGATCCTTGGCAACCCGCCGCATCTCATGCACATTACGCACATCATAGAAGCCCAGCATGATCTTGCGAATCGTCTTGCCGCCATTGAGACCGTACAGTGGTCCCAGTACGTTGATCACGAGATCAGCGCGAAGCCCCCATGTCGTGCTGAAGATGGCCGCCTCCATACTGTCGTACCACTCGTCGATATCACGTTCCACCAAGATTAGCTTCGCCTCGGGATAGGCTTCTATGAGCTGCGTCGCGAAGAACGAGCTCATGTCGGTGACGGCCTCATAAGGCCCAAAGATAACGTCCCAATCGGCGCGTGTGAATGGCGCGCCTGTGTAGGTCGGCAGCGAAGGGTAGAAGGCGTCGCATGCTTTGCTGAAGAACTCCCACTCAATTGGGGAACTAATGGCCTGGATGCCGTGGTGCACGCCTTGATATCCGAGAATCTCGAGAGCTTGAGTAATGGACGCCGACCCTACCCTCGCTTCAGTCAGCTTCTCCCGACGGCTGTAACGATAGCAAAAGCAAACGTTGGAGGAGCTCACCAGTACGCGTCATTCCCAATGATAGCACCTTCAGCTCGCGCTTTGGGTGATCGCCAATGGAGGTTGGTGTCGCCATGGCTCAGACCAAAGCTGGTTTCAATCACGCCAAATGGCTGACGAGAGAAGATGGTCGGGAGTACGACAGAAGGTGATATTTCTCGACCATTGTAAGCTCGGCAGAGAGGTGACTACCCCAAGTTGCTGCTCACCGTGGACCGTGGTAAACATTCCATACTCATTTGTTGGACCGCCTACCACGTGGTCAAAGGAGTGGCCATCTTACTTGCCGCTGTCTAACTCGAATGTGAGCGCCGAAGAGCGCCCACTGCTATCAATACGATCTACCGGTAGACCCCATCCTAATTTCAACACGCTCGGGCCGAAGTGTAACGGGCCGAGTAAAGTGCCACTGCAAACGCATCGCGCATAATTGGTCTACACTCCAAGAGTACAACGGAATACGCGCAACCAACATCCTGGCTTGGTAAAAATATTATCGGAAAGACAGGCTTTCTGCTGTCGAATCACATGAGGTAAATCAACGATGTCCGGGTCTGATACACGCACACACATCATCACTCGTGTTCACCGTGTTCACGGTATTCACCGTATAGGGCGTACTTGCCCGTCATGAGGCCTACGCAAGCGTTCTGTACACTGTTCTGACGCTGCCGGTATGCATAGCCTTGTAGATTTACGTGCTGATACAACAGATGCTCAATCAAGTTCTGACTACCGCCTCGGCCTGATGGAGACCATGAGCGGCTTCTTCTCCCAGACCAAATACGACTTTTGTGTGATCCACCACTTCTCACTGTTTGGGCTGAGCGAGATGTCAAAGTTCCAGAAGAGCTTAGCCAAAGCCAGTCTCATCTCATTCATAGCCATACTGGAAAACCATGAAGTCAGCGATCGTTCCACCGATACCGAAAAGGGAAAGAGAGATCTTACGTTTGTCCAATGCAATCATGTCTACCATAGGAGAAAGGACGAGATGCACCTCGCTCATCACGAGCAAACTCCCCATCTTTCGTCTGCAGCCACCTCTCTGGGATAAAGTCAAGAGGCCGGTGCCAGTTCCATGGAGCGTGACAGGCTGCGAGATTGTGCATGCCTACAGCTGTCTGTTGGTCGACTAGTCAGTACAAACTCGCCACGGCCGAGACGCGAACAAATACTTACACCTCCCGGTACCCATTTTCCATCTATCTCCTCTCCACCCTCTGGAACCCAGCGCGGCAAAGCTGATGGCGTAGGCGGCGATATACGCATCGACTCCTCGATGCAGGCCTTCAAGTAAACCAGCTCACCAGCAGCAACCATGCTAACCTCCTCTTCGCTCGCAAACCTACCCCGCACCTCGGCAATAACCTTCTTATAGGCGTCCGAATGCCCACAAACGAAGAAGACAAATGCGCTCATCGTATACGTAGTCGTGTTACTGCCCGCCACAATCAACGCGCTCGCCATACCAAAAAGATCCATGTTACTCAAATTCTCACTCTCGTTACCAAGGATGTAGCTCATGAAATCCCGTCTCTTCCCTTTTCGGGTGCCAGTACGCTCCTCATCAATCCGTCGCTGTACCTTTTGGAGGGTGAGTGTTTGATGCCGCTTCCGCGCCTCCATGGCCGCTTTGGGTGCCGTCCATTTGAGTATCCACTCGATATGGTAGTACGTAGCGAGTTGATACCAAACAATGCTTTTGACGCGCGATCCGATAACGTCAAGCCAGGGCTCATCGGCGCGGTCGAGACAGCCCGCGGGTTGTCCGAAGGCCAGGTCGCTCATGATGTCGAAACTCAATAGGCTGAACCAGCGGAGGATATTCTGCTCTACAGCATGATACTGTGGTTTCCGTAACTGAGAAATAAGCCGATCAGTGTGATCCCGAAAGAAATCTTCTTGATCCCGCAATGCGCGCTCACTGAACGCTGGCTGAAGCGCACGCCGGAGCACAGCATGTCGCTCAGGCGTCTCAGTAACGATACTACGACGTCCGTTCACGACCGCAGGAGCGATACCACGGCCATCCAGACACTTCAGGAACTCGCGTGGCGGGGGCGAGCCGTCGATCTTCTTCAAGGCTGTGCTGCTGGTGTAGGACAGCTCGTCGGGTGCGATGCGTATCACGGGGCTGTTGTAGTAGATGTGCATGTCGCGGATGCGCCATGCGAGATCGCCGCGGAGGTTGACATAGTGCCAGGGGAGGCGGGAGATGGCCCAGAGTTTTGGGCCTGGAAAGCGTGAAAGGGGGTGGAGGGTGAGGTAGTAGAGGGAGCGGAGGAGGAAGTAAAGTACAGGCTGTGCGCGGTTAGGATGTTGGAGGTTCCTTATGGTGTTGAAGGTGTTGGCGTACACTGAGGAAGATGAGAAGGGCTATGGTGAACAACATCTCGGCGTTGAGCTTGGTCTTCGGTCGTTCTGGTCCTTCTGTCTAGTACTCACAGGACGAGCTTCATGGCCACAGGTTCAAGGTAGTGGCATCGACACATATCTTCTTTCTCGTAAGTAAAGCGGACCAATCACTTCAACTTCGATTGCTGATTCTCTTTCGTTCGTAGGGTAGTTCTGGTATCGTTGCCATCGTCGCAGATGTAGCAGTCGACGAGCCAATGGGACAAAGTGTATACCCACGTGGCTGATCGACTTATCGTGAGCGTCTGATCTCGAATGCGACTCCACTTGTAGTCCACGATATTGTAACCCCACGCTGCCCCTGCTCTCGGCGCTACTAGTACTTCGATCCCGCATTCGGTCCGGCCTCGTTAGTGAGGCCTAGTCGCCGTTGGTCGTTGTACTGACTCGGGACCTGCATGGCATCGTTACGAGGTCAGTGTTGATGGAAGAGGAAAGAGCGAGGGCTCAGCGTACATTCTGTCATGAGCGGTTGGTTTCAAGATTTAGGATGGATGACACGTGACTACACTCACACTGCCACCACCATCCAAGAATTGAGCCACAGTCGAGTCAGCTAACTAGAACAATGCACCAGTATCTACTCAACAGCAACCCTCAATCTACACAAAACCGCCTTCTCCCTCTCCAAAGGACTCCCCGGACTGCACACCACGGTAAAATTATGCCAATCCCTCTCCAAATCCACGTCCAGTCCTTCAATAACATCATACCTCTGCATCATTCTCACAATCACATACCCCGCCTCCGTAAGAGCAAATTGCTGCCCAATACAAATGCGCGGCCCCCCATTGAACGGGACGTACTGCCACGTTGATCCCGGTCTCCTCTTCTCCCAACGTTCGGGTACGAATTCATCGGCGTCTTCGCCCCAGAGGTCTTTCCGGCGTTGCAGGACGTGCGTGCTGAAGTTTACTTCTGTGCCGGCGGGAACGAAGATGGGGAGGGTACCTGAGGGGCCACCGCCGGTGGGAAGGGTGGTGTCGCGGGTGGCGCAGCGGGAGTTGAACGGTACCACTGAATGTAATCGTAGCGTTTCGTTCAGAACATGCTGTAGATAAGAACAGCTCTTGAGTTTCTCGAACGTGATACTCTGGCCAACGATTGTACTCGAGTAAGACCCAAATTCCGCGAGAACGGTTTCACGTAGCTTGTTGTATACGCGTGGATTCCGCACTAAGCAGTAGAAAACCCATGATGTGAGTGATGCTGTCGTGTCTCGACCTGCGGCTAGCAGACCGAGAACTTGCTCGCGGACTTCAGCGCGGTCGGAACAGCGCGATCGTAGTGTTTCGAGGAAGTCGTAGCGGAGAGACGAGGAACCCTGTTGTCTCGCTTGATCTGCGGCGTCGATGGCGCGGTCGACAAACGCGTGGAGAGTGTTTATGCATTTGTTTAGTTCGGTGTTGCCGTAGAGCCAGTAGAAGCTTCGGAGGCGCATTCTGGTTCCGAGGATGGAAAGCATGCGCTCGAATGCGTGGTCGAAGCTGTCTTCATCGTGCTGCTCGGTACTACTACCCTTCTCTTTTTGGTCTTCCTCGATCAACGCATCAAGCGATCCCGTACTCATCCCCAAAAAGAACTCCGTCGCCGAATCCATCGTCAGCTTCGGTAACAGGGCCGCTAAACTGACGGGCGCAGACCACGCCCTGCCCTCCTCATCAACCCTCAACCCCCCCTCTTTCCCCTCAATAACTCGTAACAAACTCCCCACATGCCCCTCCAACACCTCCAGCCGACTCACATTCTCCCTACTAAACAGCGGCCGCATGGTCTCCCTCGCCCTATGCCAAGCCACCCCATCAACAGCAAAGATACTGCGCCCGAGCGCCCTCTTCAAATTCGTACGCCGCGCTGTACCCATGATGAAGTCGTCGAATTGCGTGGCGAGTAGGGCTTGGATGTTGCGTGGCTCGGCGGTGATGAGGTTGGTGGTGCCGAGCAGGGATATGGCCCATGTGTACCGGTTCATGGCCATGAAACGCGAGAAGATGAAATCGGGGGTGCGTTGCTCGCGGTCGGCGAGGAGACTGCGGCGGATGGTGTCGATGCCGAAGGGGAGGTTGTAGGGCTCCACGGGGACGGGACCGCATCCTAGATTGCGGCTTTTGAGGTAGTTGCGGAGGGGCTTGATGATGAGCGCGTTGGTTAAGTGAACGAAGAGAATTAAGCTGACTCCTATGATGAGGAGGTGTGTTTGCATCTTTGGTGTCGGTGCTTCTGCATTCGAAGCTGCGTCGGTTTAGCAGTGCGCCACTCTCAGCTTAAGTATGCTACCGAGCTATTCATCCCGACGCACCAATTTTGACCCACGTGCATAGCACTAAGCAGGGCATGGGTATCCAGTCGACTTTCTGGATTCTGAGCTGGTATTCGCCCGCTTGGCGTTGTTTGTGGGAATGGCTGGGAGCGAGTCATTGCGTTTGCAGTGCATGTGCGATCATGATCGCATCACGGTTATATTTTCGATACCTCGCTATCTACATCGCTATACGCAAGGCATATACATCAGAAACACCTCCATGGCTTCATCTTCGGCTGCCTTTATCCATTCAGATCAGACACAGGCGTTAGCTGGACCATCAAAGGCAGCTTCTCCCACACCAAGTAAGTACCCTGCTTGTTCCACCAGTCGTTACCAGGATCATAAAGTTCCCAGTCAAAGAACCGTACCAATTTCGCCATCGTAAGTGACATCTCGGCATAAGCCATAGATCGTCCGATACAAGCCCTCTGACCGTACGAAAACGGCTGGACAGCAGATCGGTCATCATCCTTGAACTCTTCGGGTGCGTCATCTAGCCAGCGTTCCGGATGGAACTCACGAGCCTTCTTGAAGTTACGCTCAGAGTGTCCGGCTGCCAGCTGATTAACGGCAACAGCATAACCACCCGGAACCCATTTGCCCTCGATCATTTCGCCCTTTCCAGGAACGAAGCGTGGCAGTGAGCCTGGAGTTGGTGGGTAGAGACGCATGCCCTCGTTGAGGCAAGCGCGCAGGTACTTGCAGCTTGTAACTGCTTGAAGAGTCATGTCTGCGCGACTTTTGAACAGGCCACGTATCTCTTGCTTGAGCTTCTCGAGTTTATCTGGGTTGCGCAGGAGAAGGTATGTCAGGCCGGACATACCGCCTGCCGATGTGCCACTGCCGGCTACGATGAAGTTGGAGGAGAGCATGACCAGTTCAAGGTGATTGAGCTTCTCGTCGTTTTCGAGGATGTAAGACCTGATCAGACACTGAGTCAGTAGTCTTTCGACTGGGTAAGGAGTCGATTGAACTTACATGAAATCCTTCCCAGGGTTCTTGGCTTCGACACGCGCCTTCAACTTGGCTTCTGTCATCGCGATGTGCTTCTTCCTCGACTCGGTGACGTATTTGGGCGTCATCCAGTTGAGTAGACCCATGAAACCGTACTGCACGGCAAGCTGGAACCAAACGATAGCCTTTGCGCGAGCGAGGATAGCTTTGATCCATGGTTGCTCAGGGTTGTTGACGCAGCCTGATGGTTCGCCGAAAGCCAGGTCGGATACGATATCGAATGCGACGAGGTTGTACCATGTAGTCATGTCGACGGCGCCGTCTTTGCTTCGTTCCTTCAGCTTCTGGACGAGGTTATCCGAGTGGTCTTGGAAGTAGCTCTCTTGTTCGCGGCTGGCATGAAATCAGTATTGTCATAGCATGCCTGCATTTCGTCGGATAGACTCACAGCGCCCTCTGACTAAAAGCCGGATCGATAGCTCTTCTCAACCTCAAGTGTCGATCTTGATGCTCAGTCATCAAGCTACGTTGGCCACCTATACTCGCAGGCGCGATACCTCTACCGTCAAGAGCCTTCACGAACTCAGGGTTTCGTTGTCCATATATCTTCTTCCACGCTCCCGAAGTCGTATAAGAGAGCTCGTCAGGAGCGATGCGCACAACAGGGCCGTATTTGTCGTGAAGCTCGCGAATCTTCCAGCTGATCCGACCCTTCATGTTCGCGCGATTCCATGGTAGACGAGAGGTAGCCCAGAGCTTCGGGCCCGGATAACCAGCCAGAGGGCTGAGGTAGAGATTGTAGACGACCTTGAAGAAGACGTGAAGCAGGATCTGATAATCTTTGTGAGTTGACTCAGAAGCCAAATTAGGATTTGCGTAAACTTACGAGCACGAAGATACCGGCGGTGATGTTTCGCAATGTCAGCGATGGCACTTGGCGCACTTGTTGCCATAGGCTATCTGGTATGAAAGCAGCAGCCATGATGTTGTGAAGTTGCCAGACTGTGACGAGACTCAGAGCCAACGGTTCGAAAGCCGGGTGATGGACATCTCAGCCTTGTCCAGCTCATCACTCCGTTGAACGCTCAAACTTTCGGAGGCATCTATTCCGATGTGTTCGATCCATGCGGCATCTGGCAAAAACCTCCAATTACCTTACTATCGCCAAACGTCGCACTCGCCGACGGGTGGGACAGCCCAGAAGTAGCCAATTGCATCCCCTCCATTACGCACGCTCTGCTACAGTTGGTGTTTAGAGAGACTGAAGTTTTCCGCGGTGAAGACACGAAGGTGAGCTCAGGTGACCCGGACTTTCATTCGGCCCTTGGTTGTCGGGCCGATCCTCTGTCCGAAATGGCTTGCAGATAGTCGGCTGTGCGCATGCGATTGTGGATACTGGCGGGATACATGGGTTTGACAAACGTGCGCAAAGGATTATTTGCAGCTGGGCCACGTGTTTGGGGTGAATGGTGAAAGCTTGACCACGGGTACTGACAAAAATGACTCGTGATTACTACACGGCGATATAGTGTAAGGTGGAGCATTTCTACACCCCTGCTGATTTGGAAGAATGCCAGTTCCTCTTGCGTAGCCTCCAGCACGCGGTATCGCTGGATTGCTGGCCTGTCAATGTGTCTAAGAGATGGGCTGTGATGACAGGCTGGTTGTCTGTGGGTAGCTGAGCATCTCGTTGTACGAAACACCATCTCTTTTCGGCCTCGACGTCTCTCTTTGGTTTCGCCAGTCAACGTGGTGACATCTGTATCACGGAAAACCATGGATAACCAATATGGCTCCGACGACGTGCTTGCCTCATCGGCAAAGACAATCCGTGCCGAGCTTCAACAAAAGCTTTCCAGCGAGGCGCGAATCCATCTGCCGTTCGACAAGGACAAGACAGGCTTCGACAAGGGCAACCTTCGCTTCACTCAGTACGAGCGCCCAACATACCTCGCTATCGTCGATCCAGGTTGTGAGAGCGACGTGGTCGAGATCGTCAAGTATGCGCGAGAGAAGGGCATTCCATTCACACCCCGTGGTGGCCACCATGCAGTCACTACCACGATGAGACATTTCAAGAACGGTATATGTATCAACATGCGCCCACTCAACCACATGCGATGGGACGCTGAGAAACGGCATGTTACCGCCGGTGGTGGAGCGGTCACTGATGAGTTCGTGCGCTTCGTGCATGATTTGGGTATGGAAGTCAGTAAGTGTAACAGCATCTTCGCTGAGAGTGAAAGTACTTACAAAGCTGGTAGATGTAGGGTCGTGTCCTACGACTGGTGTTATTGGCGTAGCATTTGGTGCAGGCCTTGGCCGTTTACAAGGCAAATATGGCTTTCTAAACGACAACATGGTGTCTTGCAAGCTCGTGCTCGCCGATGGAAGCGTGGTGGTTGCATCCAAGGACTCGCATCCGGAATTGTTCTGGGCGATTCGTGGCGCAGGCCACAATTTTGGCATTGCAGTCGAGGTGACGTTTCAGGTCTATCCGCAGCCGCACGGAGGCATACACCATACTTGGGATCTGGAGTATACATTGGATCAGTGCGATGCGGTGTTTGAGACGCTGAATAGCGTCTATGAAACTATGCCCGCTGATTTGGCAATCTTCGTCCTATGGTTGCGCCAGAGCAGCGGTCGCAAAGTAGGTCGCTTAACAAGTAAGGCATACGCGCTGCTGACAAGAACCAGCACATCATTCTCGTCAACCTAGTCTGGTCTGGTCCAGCTGCGGGCGCAGACCCGTATGTGGAGCGCTTCGAGTCCCTGAGCCCAGTCTTGATCACCGGGCGGAAGTCCGTGCCATGGCCAGAGCTACCGTTCACCACTTACAAAGAGATAAACAAGCTCTTTTGCAATCCCGAAGTCTGGCTCCGAGGCCCTTATAAGATGATGGGGGCCGCCTGCGTCGATAACTTTGACCTCAAAACAACACGCGAGTTCTTTGAGAGTGTCAAAGCTATGAGTGAGGAGTGGGAGGACCGCGGTTGGTTCAGTGCCATGTTCGAATGCTTGCCTGATCAGCGTGTTCGCGAGATCCCCAATGATGCGACAGCCTATCCATGGCGTGGAGGATCGAATCATTTCCTGTGAGTATACCGCACTGGTTAAACTATGAAGAAAGTCCTAACGTGTGATATACAGCATGCTGAATGCGACACCAAAGCGATTGGAAGATCGCAAGGTTTTCGAGGACCATCTCGACTACTGGAAGCAACGCTTTGTCGAGACGTCTGGATACGGCCGCTTGCAGCAGTATGTGAGCTATGGTAATGGTACGGCAACCTTGAAAGACCCGCCTGAAGCACTGTACGGCTATGTGCCCTGGAGATTGGAGAAGCTACGGCTTCTCAAGCAGAGATATGACCCCGACAATGTGTTTCGATGGTACCAACCATTCGTTGATTCATGAGGCATTCTGAGTAGATCTTTGGAGTAGTCTCCAATACGAACCTAGCTTACCGATAATGCCGTTTGATGTGAGACCCTGTGGAGCAAAAAGATACTGTCTACGTTGACGCGTAGGCGTTTCCACTCGGCGGCGGTACCCTTGGTGTACGCCTGAGCGTTTTGAGATATTCGATAGCTTGGCAGATACGATACCAACTCCCTGCTGAACAGCGAAAGGCCGCGTGCGTACACGTGGGCATGAAGAGTGGCCTGTAGATGTTGCTAGAACTCCGAAATCTGGCCAAATCGCGGGCGCAGTAGGGAGTGGGTACTCTGGCGCATCGTGACCCACGCTGGACTTCGAAGCGAGGACAACAGCAGTACGATCTGGGGAAACATCTGAGGCCGAAGCTAACAATTCTCCGATTATAAGGGCCTTCGGTGGGTCGAAAAAGTCTTGGGGAGTCTTGTTTAGAGTGGTGGAGACACACCTGAGTCGTGGCTTCGGTTACCCCGGTCGCCTTCAGATCTTGGGAAGATAGTCGAACACGTTCACCTGTATCGGGGAAACAACATGCTGCGTGCTCAAACAACCCAGCGGTATTGGATAGTTTCGTCGAGATGTTTGATCGGCTTTATATCGCTCCTGCCTAATTGCAGTGCGGATGCGTGGGCTTCAGAACGGTGATCGGGCCATTGCGACGCGAAACCTGTAGCATTAGTAGATGAGAGTCTCATGAGACCCTTTGAAGATGATATGTACCTGTAGCCTTCACAGCAGGCTTTCACGATTGTTCTCCTCACATTCACCACATCATACAGCTTTGTACTACTTCTCATACCCCTTCCTCCTCTTCAAGCTGTCACAATGAACAAGCCGATCGCCATTATCGGTATCTCTTTCCGGGGTCCAGGCGATGCTCGCGACCCCGAAGCCTTCTACCGTATGCTCATAGAAGGTCGCAGCGCACGCACCGAGATCCCCAAAGACCGTTACAACGTCGACGCTTTCTACCATCCTGATCCAGAACGGCTAGGTAGTATCCAACAAAGGTAGGCTCAATCTGTTGTCGTGCTCATGTCGTTAACCATACTAATGTGCTGTCGCGACAGACATGCGCACTTCCTGGAACAAGACTTCAAGGTGTTCGATGCTCCTTTCTTCAGCATCACGCCGAAGGAAGCAAAGGCCATGGACCCGACACATCGCATTCTACTGGAAGCCACGTATGAGGGCTTCGAAAATGCCGGCTTGACCTTGGAGCAAGTCTCAGGCACACAAACATCCTGCTACATCGGAACCTTCACAGCAGACTTCCCCAACCTGCAAGCCCGTGATAACGAAGGGCCTTCAATATACCGTAAGTGATCGAGTCGGTATAATGCTGGTCCAAGCTAAGCCTTCTCTGCAGACGCGACTGGCATGTCAGCATCTCTAGCCTCCAACAGACTGTCGTGGTTCTACAATCTGCGGGGGCCTTCACTGACAGTCGACACGGCCTGTTCATCAAGTTTAACAGCATTCCATCTAGCCTGCCAAAGCATCCGCACAGGCGAAGCCGAGATGAGCGTGGTTGGTGGTGCTAATCTCATGTTCGGACCAGATATGTCTATCCTCCTGGGCGCTGCCAAGATTCTGTCGCCTGAAGGCAAGAGCAAGATGTGGGATGCAGACGCGAATGGCTTCGCGCGCGGAGAAGGATTCGGCGTTACAATTTTGAAGGTGTGTACTAAGCGCTTCCGCCGCGGTTTCGGTATGAGGAATTTGACTGACGAGTGGCGGTATGTAGCCTCTAGACGCAGCGATCCGCGACGGCGACAACATCCGAGCAGTCGTGCTGGCAACGGCCGCTAACGAAGATGGTCGCACACCAGGCATCTCGTTGCCAAACAGCGAGGCGCAACAAGAACTGATCCGAACCGCATACCGGCAGGCTGGTGTGGACCCAGCAGAGACAGGATATGTCGAAGCGCACGGAACGGGTACACAAGCCGGCGATCCACTCGAAGCCCGAGCTATCCTTAGAACCATTGGATCAGTCGAGAACCGGTCGTCAGATCTGTACGTCGGATCAGTCAAGACCAACATTGGTCACCTCGAAGGCGCAGCTGGTGTAGCGGGTATCATCAAGGCTGCGCTGACTGTTGAGCGAGGCATGATACTGCCGAATCTCTGGTCAGTAGATCGCTGAAGCTCTCAATCTGCATATACTGATATCCTCCAGGTTCGAGAAGCTCAATCCCGATATTGATTTACCGGAGAATGTCAAGATAGCTTCCAAGTTGACGCCGTGGCCACACAGCGGTCCTCGCCGCGCAAGCGTCAACAGCTTCGGTTTTGGCGGTGCGAATGCACATGTCATCCTTGAGGACGCGGCATCTTTCCTATCACGACATGGCTTGAAGGGTCGACATGCGACAACGCCACCCCTTCCCAGCCCTGGCAGCGTGCGCGTTGCTGAGCTCAGTGACAGTCCTAGTAGCTCTGCAAGCACTGTTGAGACGACCAGCGGAGACTGCAGCGACAACACGAGTGATGTTTCGAGCGAGATCTTGCGCGACCTTCATCCCACATCGAGGGTGTTTGTCCTGTCTTCCAACGACCAAGAAGGAGTCAAGCGCAACGCCGAGCGCCTGCAAGACTATCTGGCCTTGAAGACATCCACAGTACCTTCGTTCCTCAACGACTTGGCATTCACGCTGAGCTCCAAGAGAACCGCGTTGCCTTGGAAATCGTATGCCGTCGCCTCGAGCGTCAGCGGCCTGCGAGAGAAGCTTACGAGCCTTGCTCCAGTGGTCCGTTCCTCCACTTCTGCGATACCACGAATTGCTTTTGTCTTCACTGGCCAGGGCGCGCAGTGGCATGCAATGGGGAGAGGTCTTTCGTCGTACAAGGCCTTTGCTGAGAGCATGCAGAAGTCGGAGGCCATGCTCAAATCGTTCGGTTGCCCGTGGAGTCTTGGTGAAGAGCTTAGTCGCAGCGAGACTGAGTCTAAGCTACGTGAGACTGACTACAGTCAGCCGGCCTGTACCGCTATCCAGGTCGCACTCGTGGACCTCTTGAGCAGTTTCGGCGTAAGACCTGTTGCCGTTCTCGGCCACTCCAGCGGCGAAATTGCGGCTGCGTACACTGCTGGCTTCATCGATCAAGAAGCGGCAGTCAAGATTGCTTGGTTGAGAGGCCAGGTCAGCAAGACTGTGTCCAAGAACGGTGGCATGTTGGCCGTCTCTGCAAGTGCCGATAGCGTACAGGATCATCTCAATGGCTTGGAGAGCGGTCGAGCGGTCGTGGGATGCTTCAACTCCACCAAAGCCTGCACCATCACCGGCGACGCTTCAGCCATTAGTGAGCTGGAGACGCAGTTGAAGGACGCGCAAATACCGTGCACACGACTGCCCATGGACGTCGCATATCATTCTTTCCACATGACATCAGCTCGCGAACAGTATGAGAAGGCTTTGGAGGGCATCCCACATGGCTCCACGGCGACCGTCCCCATGTTTTCTTCGGTGACGGGAAGTTTGGTTGATCCTGCACAGATGAAGCCATCTTACTGGGTGGATAACCTCGTGTCTCCTGTCAACTTTGTCGCGGCTACCCGCTCCCTTCTGAGCCACCCCCAAGAGAACAAGTCGCGCAAGGCCTTCGCCAACCTGTTCGTCGAGCTCGGCCCTCACTCTGCCTTGCGCAGCTACCTCCTAGACATTTTCGCCAGTGCGAACCGTGCTGCTGATACGACCTACACTAATCTGCTTCGCCGCAACCACGATGGCGCTGCTACTATGTTGGAAGCCATGGGCCATCTCTGGGCGCATGGATGCAAATTCGATTTGAGCAAAGTCAATGACGTTTCTCCCGACAACACCAGCATGTTGGTAGACCTAGCTCCATACGCCTGGAACCACAAGGCGTACTGGGACGAATCCCACCTCAGCCGGCAACACCGCCTTCGCAAGTCGCCACGTACCGACCTTGTCGGCTATCGCCTTACTGGAACGCCAGAGCACACATGGCGCAACTTCCTGCGGTGCAACGAAAATCCATGGATCCGTGAGCACAAGGTCCAGGGCGATATTCTGTATCCAGGTGCGGGCATGCTTGTCATGGCTATTGAAGCGGCGCACCAATTGGCCCAGGAGACCAATGCCGACGAAGTGTATGGTTTCGAGTTGCGCGACGTTAGCATCGACACTGCGCTTCGCGTACCTGATACGGAGAAGGGTATTGAAGTTATGACGCAGCTACACAATCGTCGTATTGGAACAAGAGCAGCGCCGTCTTCCACACTTTACGAGTTTGTTGTCTCTTCCTGGAGTGAGGAGATGAACTCTTGGAGTGCTCACGCTCGTGGCCTCGTCTCCGTCGTCTTCAAAGCCTTCTCTCCTTCGATGGAGCGTGAGCTGGCGCTTGAGAACGAGCGCTACATGTCGTCTCTTTCCAAGGCTAGGGATGTCTGCCAGAAGCCGGCACGAAGCTTCTTATACGACACAGTCGAGACGATCGGCATGCAATACGGACCGACCTTCCGCAACATGACTGAGCTGTATGCTGGTCCTAGCTCCAGCTATGGCATCATCAAGGTACCTGATACCAAGTCAATCATGCCTAAGGGCTTCGAATACCCCTATGTCGTTCACCCTGCCACGCTGGACTCGGTCCTTCATCTTGTCTTTCCCAGTATATCTGGCGACGATCAAGCACTGAACGAGGCGGTCGTTCCCAGATCTTTTGATCGCATTTTCGTTTCAGCCAGGATCCCAAGCACCGCTGGTTCAGAGCTACATGGCTGCTCTTCCGCGAAGAAGCTGAGCTACACAACGTGGACTTCCAGCATCACGATGTCCGAGGCAACCATGACCGACCCTGTCGTCATCATGGAAGGCGTTGTACTGGCATCTGTTGGTGCAACCGAGAACGCATCGAAACAGCTTGAGACGCGTGCGTCTTGTTTCGCGCAAAACTGGCACGTGGATGCTGATCTCTTGTCGCCGTCTCAGATCAAAGAACTCGTCTACAAGCGCACGTTGAAGAGTAGAGACGACGATTCAGTCCTTGATTTGCTCGAGTTCGTCTGCCTTGTTTACATCTATCGCTGCCTTGACTGGTTCCAGAGCGAAGCAGGCAAGGCACATGTGCCGCAGGACGGCTTCTGGAAGTCGTACGTGGAGTGGATGCATGACACCGTAAAGCAATTTCCTCCGCTTCCTGAAGATGTCGAGACCGAGATGCAGGCAGCCCGGAAACGCATCATCAAGTCGGAGAGCGGCGACATCACGGTGCAGATGGTGGACCGTATTGGGCAGAATCTTTCTCGCATCTTTACGCGCGAGGTCGAGGCTCTGCAGTGCATGACTGAGGGTGACCTTCTTTACTCCTTCTACCGCGGCGCTTTCGGTACGAGTTTCAACACCAATGTGGCGGAGTACGTAGGTCTGATTGCTGATAAGCAACCTGGACTACGCATCTTGGAGATCGGCGCCGGAACGGGTGGTACTACATACCATGTTTTGGAACGTCTGCGCAACCCCGATGGCAGCTCCAAGGCCGCTCAGTATTACTTCACGGACATCTCTCCTGGTTTCCTTGCCAAGGCAGCCGACCGATTCGACAAGGACGCATCCATCATGCAATTTGGCACGCTCAACATTGAAAACTCACCCACGGAGCAGGGGTTCAGTCCTGAGTCCTTCGATCTCATCGTTTGCGCCAATGTACTTCACGCGACGAAGAGCATCCAGGAGACACTAGCGCATTGCAAGTTGCTGTTGAAGCCAGGTGGCCGTCTTGTCTTGTCCGAGGTGACCATCAAGCGCATCTTCTCCGGGTTCATCATGGGGCCGTTGCCCGGCTGGTGGCTAGGAGAAGCGGACGGTAGGAAGGGAGGTCCACTCTTGGATGCTGAAGAGTGGAACGTCGCTTTGAAGCTGGCCGGATTCTCGGGTGTTGATGTCGATATCCGCGGTGATCGAGAAACTTCGAAAGAGCCTGTCTCGCTGCTCATTTCGACTAAGCCCGAGACTACAAGTCCTAGCCTACCTCCTTGCTTGGTCATCACCACTGGGACTGAAGCGACGGGCAGGCTTGCCTCTGCCATCCAGGGAGCATTTGCCTCCGCTGGCCATGACACAAGCATCGCCCAGTGGAATGACATCTCCAAAGCACACGTGGATGGCAAGTACTGTCTCTGTCTTGCCGAATGGGATGACGCTGTCCTCGCCAATCTTACCGATGACAACTGGCGCAGATTGCGCGAAGTTGTTCTCTCGTCTCAGGGTGCTTTGTGGATCACAGGTGGCGGTGCCCTTGACACGCCATATCCCATGAAGAGTCTGATGGTTGGGCTTGCCAGAGCCATTCGCAATGAAGACGCCGGCGTTCGCCTTGCCTGTCTCGATCTGGAGGCGTCATCGACCATTGACTTCGAGAGAGCGGCACAGAACACACTCAAGGTCGCTCATGAGCACATCAGCGGTGACGGCACCGAGGGTGAGTATGCCGCCCGTGGTGACATGGTCTACGTACCTCGTGTTGAGCGAAAGTTGGAAGTGGACTCGTCTTTGCGCAAGTACGAGGCCAAGGGCGATCCCGAGATGGTATCATTCAAGAGCTGTGGACGTCCCCTCAAGCTGAGCATCAAAACACCTGGTCTCCTCGATACGTTCCAGTGGGAAGAAGATGAGACGTACCACACGCCATTACCTGAGGATTGGATTGAGATCGAAGTCAAGGCCGTTGGTCTCAACTTCAAGGATGTGCTTGTGGCGCTGGGTAACCTGGCTGAGAACAAGCTGGGTGTTGACGCCTCGGGTGTTGTCACTCGTGTCGGTGCGGCTGTCACAGACATCACAGTTGGCGATAAAGTCATGACCGCATCTTGCGATACCTTCGCCACCTATGTTCGCTTCCCGGCCAAGGGTGCCATACCCGTTGCCTCTGGCATGAGCTTCGAGGAAGCCGCCTCAATGCCACTCATCTTCCTCACAGCCTACTACGCGCTAGTAACTGCAGGTGGCATTGTGTCTGGCGAGAAGATCTTGATTCATGCCGCTGCTGGCGGTGTCGGACAAGCCGCCATCATGATCGCGCAAGCCAAAGGTGCCGAGATCTTCGCTACGGTCGGCGCGGACGCGAAGAAACAGCTTCTCATGGAGCAGTATGGAATCCCCGAGGACCATATCTTCAGCAGTCGTGACACCAGCTTTGTCAAGGGCGTGCTCCGTGCCACGGGCGGCAAGGGTGTGGATCTGGTACTGAACTCGCTGGCTGGCGAGGCCCTTCGTCGATCATGGACTGACTGCCTGGCCAAATTCGGTCGTTTCTTGGAGATCGGAAAGGCGGATCTCTTCGCCAACACCGGTCTTGACATGAAGCCCTTGTTGGACAACAAGAGCTATATCGGCGTCAACCTGCTGGACTTTGAGAACAATCCGACACCACGAGCAGTAGCGCTGTGGCATGACACGGCGAGGATGATCCATGAGGGGGCGATCAAGCCCATTGCGCCACTTCAAATCTTCACCATGGCCGAAGTCGAGAAGGCCTTCCGCCATATGCAGGCAGGAAAGCACATGGGCAAGGTGGTCGTTCGCGTTGACGATGCAGACTTGGTCCGTGCCGTACCTCGAATTCCACGCGTACGTGTCCAGTCTGACGCGACGTACGTGATTGCCGGCCTTGGTGGCATCACGCGTGAAATTGCGCGTTGGTTGGCCGAGAAGGGCGCAAAGTACCTGGTGTTCCTCTCTCGGTCTGCAGCCAGCGGCACAGACAACAAAGCATTCGCTGCGCAACTGCAGAAGACGTACAGCGTTACGCCGCTGGCGTACGATTGCGACGTTGGCAACAAGGCCGCTCTGCAAGCAGTCTTGAATGACATGAATGCTAAGGGTTTGCCACCTATCAAGGGCTGTGCGACAGGCGCCATGGTCCTACAAGACTGCCTCTTCGACAAGATGACAGCCGACCATGTACGTACAACGGTCGGTCCCAAGGTCCACGGTACCTGGAACCTGCACGAGCTACTGCCACGCGATATGGACTTCTTCGTTATGCTGTCTTCGCTAGCCGGTGTGATGGGCCATCGTGGACAGGGCAATTACGGCTGCGGTAACAACTTCCAAGACGAATTTGCTGCATTCCGGCGCAACCAGGGCCTACCAGCGATGACCATCGACATCGGCTATCTTCTGTCGGTAGGTTTCGTGGCTGAACATGACGAGTATGTCGACCACGTCAAGGCCATGGGGCTCAAGGTTATGCATACGTCGGATCTTCATGGTCTGCTAGCGACCGCCATCGAGGGCCCCTCTCAGCACCCTGGGCAAGTCATGTGCGGTCTGCCCTTCAATGAGCACGACGACGCGTGGTACTGGATGGCCGACGCGCGGTTTTCTGCACTGCGCAACGTTGCAGCTGGCTCCTCGGCGAAGGCTGGACAGACCATCTCACTGCGAGAGGAGTTGACGCGATGCGGCACAGCGAACGAAGAGGCCGTGCAGCTCATCACAGCCGCCATAGTGCAGCGTCTTGCGAGCCTGATGATGATACCCGAGGCCGATATCGATGCCGGTAGGCCGCTGAGCGCGTATGGCGTGGATAGTCTGGTTGCTGTTGAGGTGAGAAATTGGGTTGCGCGTGAGATGTTGGTGGAGTGCTCTGTGTTCGATGTTCTGCAGAACATCCCGATGACGCAGCTGGCACAAAGCTTGGCAGAGAAGAGTAAGCTGCTCCTTGCACAGGCCTGAAATTGTGTGTACTTAGGTAGTATGAATCGTGACTGATTGCTATGGCATCGACCTTCGTTCTTGATGTTCGTGATGCTTGCTGACAACGAAGGACGAAGCAGCCACGCAAGCGGCTTAGCCACATCTTCTGATTGGACAAAGGCTGATCACAACGTCATGGACTCGTGGAACCCTTTGGTCGTCGCCAACGCTGGGCCGCGCATTCGAGCTTGATTGATGTATGAGCTACGATGATGCCTGATCATTCAATACAAGATGCATCCAACGGTACATAAGTTTACCTGCCGCTCCAACTGGCAGATCTACTTGCCCGGCTTTCTTTCCCGATCGACCAGTATAGCCATTGCACTAGTTCATCGTCGGACTTTACTACGAACATGTCGGGCAACGTAGTCGATCCTGAGGCACGCGACAAGTACCTCTTGCAAGGTATGTTGCAGTGGACTGGAATCATCTTACGAAATGCTGATGATCTTTAGTGACGGCTGGACCATCCTACGATGCCTCAAAGCACGAACAGGTATCAGTCAACGGCGCAGAGCCCACACACGTCGAGAGCGACCTAGTTGAAGCATGGATCCGCGTCCGAATCAAAGACTACCACGGCCTACCGCGTGGCTCACCAGCTTCATCGTCTTACTTTGATCACCCACAGCATACCTCTGATAGATACTCCATCGCCTACTCATTCGTTCCCAAGCAGGACATGTCCGGCTCCGATCTTGTCATGGGCTTCGATTACGGCCATTCGATCAAGCACCAGCTTCCACCAGGTTTCAGGTATGCAATGAAGATCGCCACGAGTATGCTGGACCCCGGACTTTACTCAGATGCATACTCCGACGAGCCGTATCTCTACGGACCCGCGCTATCAAGTTTTTTTGCCTTCCGAATCGGAGATCGGACGAGCGATGTGTCCGCACAAGATCAACTTGCAAGTCTCAGTCAAGAAAGTGATGATGTGATCGAAGAAGGTGCATCGGGGAGTGGCAAAGAAGCGCGCAAAGCGTCGTCCATGCCTTCGAAATGGAAGAAGCGGCGGAAGTATTACCTCGATGAACAAGCCCTCTCAGCGTTTACGTTCGAGAAGGGCCGCATGTACCATGCCGATTTCTTCAACCCACATCTTGACTTTGCGAATTTCTCCTTGAGGTTACCCGGGTTTTCCATCAGTGTGGCCAAGTACGTGGATGAGAAGACGCATCATCTAAGATATGTACTTCGGAATCGGAAGACGGAGGAGGTACTTCTGGTGGTCTTCTTCAAGTTGCTGTTTGGCAAGGAATTGGATGATACGTTGGAGAAAGAGAAGAGGAGGGAAAGTGCGCCGCCGGCTGTGGCTGTAAATGATCAACCAAAGCCAGAGCAGACAGGCCACGATGAGCTAACGAAAGTACGTGCTGCCGAAGAAACTGAAAGACGAGCTCCACAACCTCCTCCTCGGACGGGTCATGACGAGTTGACGAAAGTTTGCGCTGCTGAGGAGGCCGAAAGACGAGCTTCGCAACCTCCACCTCGCACTGTACAAAATGATAGTACGCCATCCTCTGCAAAACCTACCCGTCAAGAAGGTTCAGCGTCTGGAACAGCCGCTCAAGTCGATGGCGAGGCGCAAGAGGACAAGAGTTACATCGGCCAAGCAACGAGCGCTGCGACAAACCTTGCAAACTCCGTGGTGGCTGTATACGCAGCCCTGGGCTTCGGCAACTCATCATCTTCCTCGTCGGATTCCGAACCTTCAAGCAGGAGTAGTTCGGCGCAGCCAGCAAACAAGTCGATGGCAGCTGAGATCGACAAGATGGACGATGCAACGGTAGAGCAGTATTTGCGGGGTCGACACGGAAGTGTGTGATATTCTCTGTATACGCATCGGTTCTTGAGCAATAGCTGGTATAATCTTGTATTAAGCAACATCTCAATGCTGCGTAGGTCTGTCGTCTTGATCTAACTGGTTGGATTGAAATGATTAGCACGCTACCTTAGTGTAATTGAGGTCGACCGTGGATCCGGAATATGGGATTCTTTAGCACCGGAGGATTATGATTGTAACTTTGTCCGCCGCCGTTTCACGGGCTACATCCAACGCCACAACGCGGCCGTATGTAGCGCAAGGAGCCCATGGATTTAAGTTCTGTATAGAGTGATGATAAATACGGATGACGTACGACCGGATGCTGTTTGGCGAACAGTCTTCTCGCATATCTTCAGGTGCTACTCTATCAAAGAGGAAGCATCGCAACTACTCCTTGCGGCGCAGGCAATAAACTCTACCAATGTATGCGACGCGTGCTTCAGAACCTTGGAAGAACACATTCCCAGAAGCGCGATGAAAGAGCAATCAATGAATGATTTGAACCGGAGAACACATTGCGCACGCCAGTCGGAACCCAGCCTAGCAAGCACGTGCGCGCTCGGCCCCGCAAGCATCTCGAAGCCGATGAAACTCCGACCTTGTCTCCTTGACACACGCACTGCACCACCCGCCATTCCAACGGCAACAATACACGCCCTCCCAACGCGCGGGCGCACTCAACCAGCAAGTGCAGTCGGGCCTAAGCATTTCGATGCGCAAGGGCTTACCCTAGCCCATCGGCAGCATGCCTCCACCTGACAGATCAGCGTCTCGGAAACTGTCTCTTCCATGGCACTAGTCACGTTTTGACTCTGGCCTTCGCCTGTTCCAGCAGCCCAAAGCACGTTGCTTTCGCGCAGACACTGTTGCGGTCAGGTACGTACCTGATTCACCCGGCGTCAGTCGTCCCGCTCAGCTGCGGGTATCTGTGTTCCAGTACTCGATACCCTTGCGGCGCCCTTTTAGTGGCGCGGATTCATGCGTTGCCGGTGTGTATAGACTACCTTTATGTAGCTGAAAAAGTCCTTCATTACGCCAAATGGGCTGGCGCCTTTTGCTGTACTACCAACCTTTTCACATGATCAGCTTTTCGACCGTCTAGTGTTTGTCAAGTCGGCCCGGAGGTCAATCTCAGCAACCATGATAAGCACTTGTTTGGACCTTGCGCTTTTGTGCCATCCGGTTCTTGCTTTCCTCTCGATACAACGACCAAAGATGGCGGCTCCGATTTCGAAATGGCAGTACTTTCTTCTCAGCTTTCTTTCGCTGCTTGCTATTCGCTATGCGAGTACTACGAATGCGAGTCCTCAGGTTCCGGTCCTCCATGAAATCCAACAAGCCGTCGAACAGGCTGTCTGCAAGACAGTTGACCAGCCAAATCCCATTGCGTCACAGTACCCAACAAATGCGACGGGAACGTTGAATGGCACAATCTCGGTTTTACCCATTTCCCTGGATCTCGCACGCAGTCTCATCCCTTCGCAATACCGCATCTTGGAGCACGCATACCGCCATCTCCTCCCCGACTTCCCGGAAGGAATGTACCCAGCCCTTCTCCAGGCAGTCCACGACCACGGCGTACAAGCTTTCGGCTTTCAAATACCCGACTTCTCGGTACGATAATGCGCCTAACCTTAGATCGTGATCCGCGGTAGTAGTGCTAACTTTGACTAGCGTGGTGGCATCGAATTCCCATTCCTCGATCTCCTCGGCGATAATACCACGTCCTTCAAGTGGACGCCATCGCTTGTTATGTCGGCTGAAAACGTCATTGCGCTGAAAGGCGCTGCGGATTACGGAATCAAGACGTACCCGTCGTTGTTCGAGCCTGCTTGCGATGCATACAGTGCGGTACCCGACGCTAAGGAACCGCGAACTACGTCTTTCGAAGCGACGAGCGCTGAGGCTGGCGCCGCATCCATTAGCACGCGGCTGTCACTTACGTCGGAAAAGAAGTACCCGCTGGGTTTCTTCATGAACATCACCAACCAAGTCATGTTCGGCGACGGCAAACAATGCGACAACATGATCCGTCTCTTCAACACCAGCTTGACAACAAGCCCCAATAAGATCGAGACCGTTAAGGGCACCGTCAAAGTCAGTGGTTTCCCGCTTGAAAGCGAGCAGGAGTTTGAGTGCGCGTATGGCATCAGATTTAGCTCGGCGTTCATCGAGAACAACTACCTGCCTTGCGAAAACTTCAGGAACTACGGCACTGCTTAGACGTTGATGGGGAAGACGATGTGTGTATTGCGCTTTTCTTTGGCGCGAGTACATGTTCTGAAGAGAGCACAGGATGTTGGGCGATTGCCCGCAAATAACGATACCCATTAAGCCACGGTGGCTAGCGAATACCCCCTTGGACTGTATATAGAATTCTAGAGGAATGCATTGGTGTATATACATATTGTCTGTCTTGTCCAATGGTCTGCTTATTCATCGTGGATAAATCAGATACCTAATCTGAGGTCCTCAGCAATAAGGAGCTGACCGAGCCGTTGGTGTGCAAAGAGGCCGAGCTGGGTAAGGTCATGGCAACGAGCATTCAAAGGTACGTCGAGATTTGCGTACGTCCCATGCTGAAAATCGCGGCTGATAATACAGCTAATGGTCATATCCGATGCTTCTACAACTTACCTCTGAATGGGTACATGTCGCAAAGACAGGCTTGCCGTGTGGATTTTCGGAGTCAATAAGCATTTCATATCAAGTGTGTCATGACCAAAGCCAGAGTTACGAGTCACATTGCAGAAACATACCGCAGAAAAGTGCAACTCACCTAAGACCGTGTATAGTAGGTGGACATGCCCAAATTTCGTCTAACTGGCCCAGCGGTCGCACAAGTTCCTTGACGTTGGTTAGAAGCATGTCAGGTGCATGTTGGAGAAAAGCGTACATGTTCTGATTGGACTGTCTCAAGCTCATACGCCCGAAAGGGCCTCCATAGTCGCCATTTGTTGTACAAGTACCGCCGTGTCGCGGTAGTCTTCGCATCAATACTGCTGTAAGCCGAACCTTTTGGGAATCGCATAGACACACCTTAACGCCAAATTCCGGGGATATTTACCAAGCGCCTCTTCTGCCTCCGCGACGACCTCCTCGTCCACCACGGAAGCCACCGCCACCGTATCCACCACCACCTCCTCCCCAACCTCCACCGCCGCCTCGGTCCATGTCGCCGCCGGAGGGAGCGTAGGAATTGCGGGGTGGCTGGCGGTCCTTGAGCTCCTTGGTCAGAGCTTCGTAGGACTTGCGCATTTGAGCGTAGCCGAGATGCATCTTTCCGTAAAAGTGGTCTGCTAGACGACGATCATTGTCAAGACGGCTGAGATACGCACCACATACGTCGCACACTTGAAGCTTCTGGTGTCCAGACGGACCTCCGGTGTCTGACAGAGCACGCAGCTCCCTCTCGCGCTCCTCCTTCTCGGCTTTCTTGTAACGGACCTTGGTGAACTCTTGGACGGCCATGTTGACCATGCCTTCCTCGCCCATGATTTGGATCTCGAGCATACCGGCATCGATCGATTTGGTCAGTTCGTTGATCGCTTTGAGCTGTCGCGCGTGAGCAGATAGTGCAGGTCCCCTGGCCGGAATACTTACAAGAGCGTTGGTCTGCCTGATCTCTTCAGGCGTCTTCTCCAGGCGGCGCTGGGCAGTGTCTATCTTGCGATTACAGCTGTCAATGTGATGCTGCATGTCGCGCATGTAGTCAAACTCGAATCCCCATTTGCGCTTCTGTTCCGCGTCTGCCTCCTGGTACTCGGTCCGGAGCGCCTCATTGTGCACCTTGGAACAGGGACCCAGTTCGTTCTTGGTGTTGGTGAAGAGGTCGTGGGGGCAGTTGCCTACGAGGTAGGAGCGACAGACCTTGGTGTCGTTGATGTTTAGCTGGGGCGCGCGCTGGTCGGTTCCGCTCATGAGCTGTTCGCCCATAAGCTGTTCTGTGTCGCGTTAGCATACGAATAGTTATAGTGAGAAGTATTGAGAGAACCTACCAAGCAGCCTGCGCGTCTCTGCGGCGGCCATGATGTGTATTTATTAGGGATGCGCGGTTGGGTCGTGATGTGGAGAGCTGCAAGGTGAGTGACAACCAAAAGAAATCGCGACCGCGGCAATGCCAAGTATCCACGCCGGGTGACCAATCACCGGTGGGGCGCCTTCACTCCACATGTCCGCCGCAACCCCAACATCAAGGGCCTGTCGTCAGTCTTCCCGCTCACATTTCGCGTAGAGAGCGCTACGATGCTGCGATGCTCTCGTCTTTTTACTTTGTGTTGCTCAATGCCTTGATCGCTTTCGTCTCTGCGGGCGCCGACTACAGCGAGCGCCTCCTCCTGCGACCCCTTCCCCAGAACACCCTTCTGGCCTCTTTCAACTTCCGGAGCAACGAAAGCGCGACTGCATTCGAACAACAAAACTTCCGATACTTCCCACGATCTTTTGGACAGATTCTGCAACATGCGCATACGAGGGAATTACATTTGAGGTTCAGTGTTGGGAGATGGGATGCTGAGAACTGGGGACAGCGGCCGTGGAACGGTGCAAGAGAAGGAGGTACTGGTGTTGAACTGTGGGCTTGGGTGGAGGCCGATACTGAAGAAGAGTACGACTTCTATGCATTGGGCGAGGAACTCCGACTAATTGGAACAGAGCATTCGCACGATGGCTGAAGCTTACCAACGCCCTGTCAGGCCTCTTTTGTGCCTCGATCAACTTCATCGATGCCACCAAGACCATACGGCCTGTCATGTCGTTCGATCCCGAAGGCCAGCACCGTAACGCGTCCAACCTCCACCTACTTCACGGCACGCTGCCCCACGAGGTCGTCTGCACGGAGAACCTCACGCCCTTCCTCAAGCTACTGCCCTGCAAAGGCAAGGCCGGCGTATCCAGCCTACTGGACGGACACAAGTTGTTCGACGCTTCATTTCAAACCATGGCCATCGATGTACGCCCGACGTGTGAAGAGGGTAGCTCAAGTTGCTCAATAGAGATGGAGCAAAGCGTAGACATGGTCTTGGACATTGCGCGAGCCAAGCGACCCAGAGACAACCCTATCCCGCGACCTCTACCAATCAATCAGATGGAATGCGATACCTCCAAGCCATACAACGGGCACGATACCTGCTATCCCCTGAACAAGGGCACCGAGCCCGCCTGGACACTGGAGGAGGTCTTTGGAAGACCGCTTAGGGGAGCCTGTCCACTCGCAGATCAGGCTGAGGGAGAAGCGAATAACGTTTGCATCAACCTGCCGCCGGAGCGCGAACTCGAGGTTAAGACAACAGGAGAGTTCACAGAGTCAAGACTAGCATCAGACACCCTCCGATGCTACAAGCTCCCCGTCGGCGAAGACCTCGATCTCGTCCTACCCGAGCAGAAAATGAAAACCGGTCTTGTCCGTCCCGATCCTCTAGTCTTCGCGGCAAGATCCATCAACGGTCACGGCCAGGAACGCGGTAGTACACAGTCTGTCATCAAGAACCCGTCTACCACCAACGCAGTCGAGATAGTATACCTAGAGTCTCTGCCCTGGTTCATGAAGCCTTACCTCCACACGCTTCAAGCTCGCGTCGACACCACAGACGAAAGCCCCATAAAAGAGACCTACTACCGACCAGCAGTCGACCGCAAGCGCGGCACCCACCTCGAACTACGCATGGTCATCCCACCAGCCTCCACCCTCACACTCACTTACGACTTCGAGAAAGCGATTCTGCGCTACACGGAATACCCGCCAGATGCGAATCGAGGCTTCGACGTCGCACCTGCTGTGATCCGCGTCCTGTCGCCGCAGTCAGGAGATAACAAGGGTATCTACGTTCGCACTACTTCGCTACTTCTTCCTCTTCCCACGCCGGATTTCAGCATGCCGTATAACGTTATCATTTTGACAAGTACGGTTATGGCGTTGGGCTTTGGCAATATTTTTAACTTGCTTGTGAGGCGCTTTGTGGGCGTGGATGAGGTGCCTACTATGGGTGCTGGGGGATTGAAGGGTATTATTCTGGGGAAGGTAGCTAGACTTAAGGGTCTGTTGGGGATGGGCTAAGAGATCCTAATATACGAAGTTGTTCAATGTTGTAAGCGATGCTGTCGTGGGTGTTTGTGACTTCATTTTGCGATTCAGCAATCGCAAGTCGATTGCGTATGCTGCCCGTTGATGCTGACAACTCACAGGCCTGGGCCGCATTGTCTGCCTATCGACATCTGGAAACGCCCAGACTGACCTCGGGATATGGGGATGGTGTACTGTAGACTCAGCACCACATTCGACGCTAAACAAATACACTGCGCAGTAAGAAACACTTGCGAGATGGTTGAAATGCCATCCACCATGCCGGAATCCTCGAATTTACCAAACCGACACGTAGTTGGGTCAGGCTGAAAGCCCGTAAGGTTGACATCGTCGCAAGGCTGGGCTGATCCCCGCATTGCCGACTCCGATGAGTGGACGCCATCTGCGGCAGGCGCACTGCTGCGCTGCGCCTTCTTATAAAGTCTTATCATCTGCCCACTTTCCAGCCTTTCGCTTCGTCGCTCCTTCCATCTCTGTCTACGCCCGCCATGGCTGAAGTGGCTGGCACCATCGTTGGTGTCATATCGCTTTCCTTGCAGTTGTACGACAAACTCTCCGAATATACGAACGGTGTCAAAGATGCTAGGAAGAAGGCTGAACAGATCACCCGCGAGTTGGACACACTGGTGGATCTCCTCGAGCATCTGGAGACCGCCACTAGCAGGATGGACCCTACGACACCTATCGCATTGGTCAAAGCTATCATCCAGCAATGCGCGCTCTCCATAGAGTCGATCAGGACGAAGGTCGGAGATGACACTCCTTCGACGAGCTCTAGCAGATTCTCGACCCAGTCGCGGAAAGTGATCAAACGGCTAGCATATCCGTTCAAAGAAAGCGATATCAAGTACTAGAGAGACGCTTTAAGCAGTATTCGACAGAACTTGCAGATTGCGTTGCAGGCGTTAGAGATGTAATTGCTGCACGCGTGTGTGAACGACATATCAGCTAACAGCTCTTAGGGATCAGTGGCAACAGAACTTCGCGACTGTACAGGGACAGCTTGGTCAACTGTCGCTGAATACCCAAATGATACTCGATCAGCAGCGACGCACTCAGACTTTGCCTAATGGTTACTTAATCGACAAGAGCTGGAGCACGAGCGCAAATTTAGCCCCCAGTGAACGACGTTCAGGCTTCATACAGCCCTTTGTCGGCCAGCATGATCATATATCTGCCCAGGAACCTCCGATCGGAGTCCACTTCCCGAGTCCACCCGCAACATGGCGACAAAACGATATCAGCGACGCACTATTGCCAATATCTGCAGTTAGTCTGGAACAGGAGACCACTAACATTCAACATCTCGAGCGGAGAACACGAAATGTGCGATCCCAATTGATGAAGAGCTCGTATGCTTCCAGATCTTGCAAATGCCGCGAGTTTCACCACAAGAAACAATTCGTGCGGTCACCGTTCGTCATGTCGCGAATCGAATCGCAATTTCATGATCCAAGCTGCCAATTCTGGGTCTCTGAGAATCACGAAATGACGTTGAGCTTTGGCATGGTACTGTGCTGCTTGATATTTGGCCTCAAGATCCGTCTTTTCATGAAGATATCGATTGGAAGTGGCACATTCTCGATCATGCCAAACCTACTGTGCCATCGGATTGTTACGAAGTCCTCCCCAGCGTTCGCGCTGATTCATTCCATGGTCGATGCCTCCACTTCCACAAGAGAACCTCTGAATTTTGCCAGAAAGTTGACCCAGCTGTTCCAGGGGCGTGAGGCGTCACCGCATGACCGCTTAAAGGATGGGTCCACACTTTTACACGTGAGTTTTCGCTGACACCTTCTTGATGGCCAGAGCTTCGCTTAAAATGGAATCAGGCACTCTGTAAAGTCATCGGTTCAGTTTACGATCCTGTAAACCAAAGCAATGTTGAGACTTTTCGCTCTGCACTGAAGCAGCTTCTTGGCTACATGACTTATGCAAATGCATCAGACACCAACGATTCCGGGAGGTAAACAAAATTGAACTTGTTTAACCAGGTAGTCACTAATTATTGGCACCAGTACATGTATAGACAGTCTTTTGCTGGGCTTGACGTACAGGAGATCAAAGAGTTTCGGACTGGTAGCCATTATAATGGATCTCTTGCGACACGACCTAAAGATGTCTTTAGCAGTTAAGCATACTCATAGCGAAAGCTTTTGGGTTGAACTCTCCTTTACAGAGTTCCCAGATCCCTTTGTCGGTCTTAGCACCACTAGGGTCGCAGCATTATCACGATCCGAAGTGGAGTTCGGCAATGCGATACGGGAAAACCAGGCCTACGACAAGTCGCCAAAGGAAGAAGCGTTTAACTTATACCAGTTGACCACTCGTATGGGATGGGTGCCTGGCTGCCAAATACTCCTCAACGCCAGGCTCAGCTATTTGCCAGATCGGCCTCGCTCGCCGTCGCTTCTCGTCACGGCGATGCACTCATTGAGTGAATCTATGTTAAACTTTTGGCTTGATCTGCGCGAACATGCTGATGCTGAATCTTGCAGAATTATTGGGAGCCTGGAATTCGCTGTTGTATTCGCATTGAAGGCTTCTAAAGTAAACCTAGCAGGAATTATCGCTTCGCGTCTTGTTGAACAAAGGCAGGAACTACGACGTCTGACAGGATCATCGGGCATCTACTGCGAATGCGTCAGGAAATCAGAAGGCTTGCTTGACTTTCACGCCACTTGCGCCTTGCGCGTACTGGACAAACAGGGTTTTAGTGTGCCACCCTCCCTTCGGCCGAGTGAGGAGAGCATATACAATGTCGATCTGATCCACAGTATGAACCTACACGCCTCGTCCAAATTGGAAACGATGACTACGTTAAAGGTCCTGCAGTTTCTGTACGACATCGGTTTCAGGGATATTCCGAAAGTGGACATCGAATGTTGTCAGAATGTGTCTTGCTCGCCGTTGCATCTCGCAGTAGCAAAGCACAAGGAGGTCTTCCCCGATACAATACCTGAAATGTACGAAATCATAGACTGGTTCGTGGGCAAAGGGGCAAGCATTTTCGATTGCTGGCCGGAGTCCAAGACCACCGCGATACATTGCATCAACGCAAAGGCAGCCATGATAGTTTCCGAAACGTGGAACCAGGCCCAGAGTTGGCCAGATGAATCTTGGAACGGAATCGCACCTATATTTCAGTGCAAGCCCACGGATGATTGCGAATGCAAATGTAGTACACAAGGATGTACCGGAATTGCATCATTCTTCAACAATGCCTCATCATCGGAAGGTACGAAAGACATTTTGACCTTGATGGGTCCAGGCTTCGTCTTCAAAAATCAACGTCGACGCAGGCAAGTCCAATGGCTATTTACACGCTTTGTACAACTGGTCGCAACAGCAACCGAGAGTACGGATCATAGATGGGTCATCACCGAGTTTATCAGACTGTGTGTCTTTGCCTGGTTAGGCATTCGACACACTTGTTGCAACCTCTACAGAATCATGCATCCTTTGCACGTTGACGTACACGACTTTTCACGTCCGCCTCCACCGCGATGTCCTCCACATGAACTTGAACGCATACAAGAAGAAGATGCCACTCTCGTCAGTCTTTTGGAAGGCCTGGTACCTCACTTCGATGTACGATACGACACGCATAAAGGCGACCTTCAATCTTTTGTTGACGAGGTCCTAAGACCTGAAATAAAGGTCGTGCTAAACCGACTGGAGCAAGAGGATGAAGCTACGTATGCCGCTGGTAGACGTGATATGGGTATCGTCATGATCCAGGAACTGAAGAGCGACGTGGACGACGGGTGGAAGAGTGGTTTCCATGCGGAGTCCGAGAGCGATTCGACGACGAAAGCGAAAGCGGTTCGCTTGAGGTCTACGGCGCTCACTGGCTTGCAGAGTACGAGAGCGACGAGTATGAAGACGATTGAGTACGAGCAAAACACAACTGTGAGAGATTTTGGCGGCGGCGTTTGAACACTGAATATCGAAGTTCAAGTCTCACTTCCATTTCCACGTTGTCTCCTAGGATCGTAAGGCCTATACTACAAGGAAGCTTGTGGCTTGACGGCTCGTATTTCGTCTTCAAAGCCTACCCCAGAGATATACACTACCGCCAGAGGCGGCAAAAGTTCGCGTCGCATTTCTGAGATTTGCTGCATGTATCCTGTTATATCTTAGCAACTATATTGTCTCTAAGATATGTATACTTGTAGCTAGGTTATACCTCTAATGCTTTTTTGGAATGCGGCACTCATTGTTGCCGCCTTTAGTGCTGCTAGCGTTCAACACTGCGCAGAATTTCCTGGTCTGATATCGCCGCGTTAGAACCTCATGGAATGCTTGGATGTCAAAGAGACCAAGTACATGATTGAAGAATTTGAGAGCAACTTGATCCGTCGAAAAGCGATGCTGTGGACGAGTGCGGACACTGTGGGCTTATACTCGCCTTTCAAACTCACAGTATGCACCATGCCACTCTGCAGTTTGTCATTGTAAACCGATGCGCAAATGTTCTGGCAAATGGCGCAGCTGAGGGCACAACATCTCACCCTTCCTGGGTTCAACAGAGCAAGTAGACAAACGAATCTCATTACAAAATGATACAAGCCTACAATTCAGACCATCATACCAGCTCACCGCTAAAAGGGGGTATATCCACTACAAAAGAGAAGACAAGCATCGCTCATGCACAATCACAACCATAACCACGCTCACCACATCTAATGAAACAGATCCTGAGCCGCAACAGCAGTCGCCTGCGCCTTAGCAGCCTCATTCGCCGCCGCCATAGCAGCCGAAAGATCATTATCAACCTTCTGCTGCGAAGAGCTTCCAGGCCGGTTATTCTCACCCGTTCCTTCCCGTTCTCCCACTGCAGCTGCGGCGAGATGTTGCAGGCCGGCCATGTTGGGTTCGAGCGCGGGGCTGGCTTGCTCGGGACCCGTGTAAGGGGGAGTGGAAGACTTCTTCTTGTGGAGTAGGTCGCCGATTGCGGTTTCCCAGCCTAGACCGTCGGAGCTGCGGTGGATGATTTGGCCGTTTGATAGGGCGTCGCTCATTTCTTTGATGGTTGCGCTTGCTTCTGGTTTCATTTCGCCTCGGTCGTTTAGTTCAGTGAGGGATGTGGCGACTAGGGCGGCGAAGATGTGGTGCAAGGGAGTGATCGCGCCGCTCATTAGGTTGCTGAGTAGGTCTTTGGTGACTTCGAGGACCTCAGCTGATGGCAAATTCTGGCCTGAAAGTCGCGCGATGAATACTCTGAGATACTGGTGCGCCAGATGAGGGGGCGAGTTACTTGTCAAGGTAGTCAGATCGATGGACTGCTTGATTTCATCTAATGCTCCGTTGAGGTACTCGGACTCTGTGGTTCCGGGTTTGAGCGCGGAAAAGGCGAAGGGTGCTGCTGGATCAACATTTGGGATGCTTCCCGCGCGATTGACATAGGCTATGCGGCCAACGAGTAGGGCAACACCTGATGAAGATTAGTCTTTGATGGTTATCAATTGTAATGAACCTGCACTTACGGGCAAGATAATAAGCAACTTCGCCCAGAGCCGAATAGTCATCTCGAGAAAGTGTTCCAGAGTATCGTCGAATCATCATGTCCGTGGATTGACTAGACGCGTGGAAACGGTCTATGATCAACGCAGTCCAATATACGCGGCGTGCTGTTTGATACACTTCGAGATCTTGTTCTTTCAGTCCAGCCAATGTTCTGGCATCATTTATTCCGACATCTGCAATGCACGCTGAGACACGGGCGAGCAGTCCAGTAGTACTGCCTATGATGCTTGGGCCAGGCCTGTCAGATGCTGCAGCAAGCAAGATCAGTGACTGGCAGTACACCAAGTGGTTGTAGAACCGTCGTGAGCTGTCCGTGTCATGAAGA